CTTCCGATGGCAAAAAAACACTCCCAGATATAAATTCATGCCTGAAAAGTCTTGAACTATAGCTTAAAAAGGTTGACCGTTGGTGTATCCCAGTGCCACGAGCGACGATGTATGCAAGCGGGTAATTTCTAGATTCGATCCGCCTATTATCGGCGCAGTTCACCTACCTAGTTGCAGACCCAGATGTATTTCTGGGTGAGAAATGCTGAGCTGAAAATGTGAGAAAGGATATATGGACTCATGCATTGCCATTTCAAGCCTGCTCTCGACTGCTGTCGCTGATTAAGAAAAGCTTGCGCGCGGTAACTTTTAATACCACTTGCTATCATGACTTGCTTAATAGTTTGTTTAAGCTAATACACTGGAGTCGCAGTCTATCACTAATATTTTACTATGCTTGTCACAGTGTGTTAAGCGTCCAGCTACAGGGGCGTAACGGTTTTCGCCAATTCCTTGAAAGTCTTAAGGGTATCAACAAAGCCACCCACCCAAGGCTGCTGCGACGGAGAAGCGCGGACCTACCAGCCTCCCAACATGGCCATCTTCAATGTGGGTAGCTCTGCCCGCTTTAGCTCCGCTCCCGGTGCTATTATCTCCGACTCACCCGGAGATATTCTACAATATGAAGATCCTATATCCGAGATTTTCGACTAAGGCCAAATTTGACAAGATGAGATGGAGAAAACCGCCGAGAAGTACAGCACACGAGAGTCAATCTAGAAATTATAAATTGATGAGAATTCCCTGCTCCGGAGAGGGAAAGCCAGACATTTACCACTCTCTCACAAGTTTAAGCACCTCGAACGCTTCGCTCGACCATACTAGCAGCGATTAATAAATTCTCAACAATCAACCCAATCATAATGCCCAAGTACGCCAAAAATCAGGGCGCCGGCTTCACAAACGCGATCGAAAGAGTCGCCATTGTTGGTGTAAGTAAATTCCTCTCAACAACAGCTCAACAGCACCACACATACAACAAACTAACAAACAGACTTAGGCTGGAGGTACCGTTGGATCACATATTGCCAAGGCCCTGCTAGAAACCGGAAGACATACAGTCACGGCCCTTTCCCGCAAAGACAGCGGCAACAGACTTCCCGAGGGCGTCCTAGTTACCTCAATAGACTACAATGATGAGGCCACCATTGTTGCCGCCCTTAAAGGCCAGCAATTTTTGATCATAACGATGGCCCCTACCGCGCCCCGGGACACTCACAGCAAGATTGTCCAGGCGGCCGCCAAGGCCGGTATTCCCTACGTCATGCCTAATGGGTATGGCGGCGACATTGACAACATTAAACTCGGCGAAGACACAATGCTGGGGCCCATAGCGAAGGCCAACAGGGACGAGATTGAGAGTCTCGGCATGCAGTGGATCACAATGTGCTGTGGTTTCTGGTACGATTACAGCTTAGCGGGCGGGGATGCGCGCTTTGGGTTCGACTTTGACAAGCGTTCCCTAACAATTTATGACGATGGCAACACCAAGAATTCGACGTCGACTTTATCGCAGGTTGGGCGCACCGTGGCCAAGGTCCTGAGCCTCAATGAACTCCCCGAGAACGAAAACGATGAGAGCCTTACTTTGTCGACGTTCCTCAACAAGGGAGTGTACATTAAGAGCCATGTAGTCAGCCAAAACGACATGTTTGAGAGCGTCAAGCGTGTCACCGGCACTACCAATGCAGCCTGGACGGTTACCTACATAGATAGCAAGAAGCGATACGAGGATGGCCTAGCGCAAGTAAAAGTGGGAAACATGGCCGGTTTTGGCAAGATGCTATACGCAAGGGCATTTTACCCAGGTGATTGTTATGACCACTCGGCCAAAGTGCAGAATGCGCTGCTTGAATTGCCGGATGAGATCCTGGATGAGTCTACCAAGGCAGGGTTAGATTTGGTCAAGGAGCTGCAGCTTCGTGTAGAGCGTATGGCGGCTTAAAGGCTCTGAAAGCCTCTACTTTGAGCAAAGCTTCAGGGTATTCTTTGCCACATCAAGCTTGTTAGGTCGGCAGCCTTCAAATTTACCAAATCAGGATCCGCCGGTGCTGGCCCCACAATCTCTTTGGAATGTTTATGAATAATCAATATACATAGTTGCGGTTTCTAAGGGCTCTGCCTAGCGGCTTCCCTGCTTTAAGCCGCACAATTTATAACACTAAATCCCAACCTCTGTCACTCTGAAAAATTCGGGAACGCAGGAGAATGTTGATGCCATTGAGTTGTGGAAGTGTAAATTGAATAAAACTTCAACACCTGCGTGGGAACCAAAGGACAACGGTCTCTATAAACTAGTAAGACTGTGAGCCCTGGGGCTATCATTAATGCTATCGGGTTATTGGCCGACCTGGACATGACAGGTTGCGTAAGCCATGAAGCAATCATACCATTTTCATGACATTGTGGCAGTGATTTTGACGGATAGGTACTTGAACGAAACTTGTGGCCAGGAGAGATGAAATGGTCTCCGCAAGAGTCAAAGAGTAACCCTCGGTTATTTTGCCATTCAGTTTTGACTTCTAGACGATTAAAAAGTTTTGATGTTTCTTGATAGGAATATTAAATTTACAAACAATTTATTTAAGCATGCTCTTACTACACCCATTCAGAGCAGAACCACCTAAGCCTTTTCTAGCCAAAAAGAATTTTCGAAAGTTGACGAATAGACTTTGGCACCCTTTGCTGTTTCAATTCCTCAGAATCGACTGAGTCTTCATCTAAATTTGGCCGCTGACCCTCCAGCAAATCAATTTTCATAAGATTGACCGGTC